ATTATTATAAGGATCCTCTGGATCTGGGATCTTTGGATAGGAGTTTAAACTGATGACGGAAGTGTTCTGAGGTCAGAGCTTCAGTAATGACAAACAAGGTACTGGTGGCCTTGCAGAAAAGCCTCACAGACGTGCAAACATCTTTTGATTATGAGAAAGTCCTGGTGGAAGTAGATATGTAAAAAACAAATCAGGTCTTCATCAACTGTGAAACATGTATGATTCACAAAGTCACTTTACTTGTTAGCTTATTCTCTGTTATACAGTTCTGTCATCATAATATCAATGTTAAAGAAGTCCCAGATTAAGGAGCTAAAGTAAGACACACGTTACCCAGTTTTGTCTAAAGTTAGTGTTTTGTTGGTTTATTATTATTTTAGTTTTTTTTTTACCCTGTGTAAATGTTCCAGAAATCACCGACACAACTCAACATACCAATCCAACAAAAGTTGCAAACACAACTCAACAAACAATTACAACAGTAGTCACTGACACAACGTAATATGCGAGTCTCATAACATGCTACATGTGCACACAGGCATCAAGCACAAATCAGTTGCCAACAAAATGTAGGCCGACTGTCTGCACCAGAAAGAAAGAAATTCATGAATGAAAAGAAAGGTTGTTTTACATTCATCGCGGTCAGACTTTCTAAAGAAAGTGTAAAGCGCAAAAAGCACACTGTGAGAAATGCAAAGGGTTTTGGCAGATCTTGCACTTCCGCAGTACTACTAAATAAATCCCTCAGCACAGTTTAACCCTGATCAGAAATACTGTATGATCGCTGGTGTGCACACATGCAGCCACTACATTTTCAATGCTCTGATGAATGATGAAAAAACAAAACTAGAAAAGAATTAGCATTTTTGGTTTTCAAGAATTTGGCTTTTTGCTTTTCCTTTTGCTGTAGAGAATGAGTCTGTGTTTTGCCAGGGACTGATTGTCTTTAACAAACAGCTAATCTTTCACTGCTATTCTGCATCTCATTTATGCTTATACAGTATACTGTACTGGTGATAAGACAGACAGGAACCATAAGATCAGCATCTCCCCTGCATCTCATCTAAGGGGCCTGAGAAAATGCTGTGCTCAAGCTACTGACTCTTTTAGTGACATTTTAAAACATTTTATAAACGGAATACGGAATTAATAAAGTATTAAGAGAATAACATAAATGTAAAAAAATAACCAGTCTCTTCTGTAGCTTAATTGTATATTAGTAACAAAACCCTAATCCTGACCACAGCCTAAACCATACCCCGGACTCGAACCCTAAAGTGCTTTGCTCCTATTCCAGGCTGCCATGATAGTAAGTCCCACCTTCGCTAATGGCCCTTTTTCGATCTGGTCAGAAAACGCTACTTGTAACTCTTTACATGTCATGTCCCTGGTGATTGATGTAATTTCAGCAGAACAGGGGCTTTACTGTGGAAGCCCTGAAAAGCACAGGGTAACTCCTGCAGGGAGACAACTGCGATTCCTGTGAATAAGTTGTCTAAACTGAGGATCTGCTCGTGAACGGATATTTGCTTTTCCCGTATCTCATATTTCCCCAGAAGACAGATGAAGACAGCTGCTTCTTTAAATGGTCTTTTCTTTTGTGCTGTCGGTGTTATTTAACATCTCTGTTTGGAGAAACTGCAGCAGTCTGGTATTAAATTTAGGTTAGCATATTAAATGCCTGTATATCTTTACGATAATTTTGGGGAATGGCTAAAGTCAGCGGTGAAGGCAGTTTCCATAATTTGTTTGGCTAAACACCAAGAGCAAGAGTCTGGGATTACCTTGACAGCTGAAAAGGACAGGGGAACCATTAGATTTTACATCCTAGATATTCAGAGACTATAACATTGTTTATAATTTTACAAACTACATTAGCTTTTTACAGTTTTACAAGATAAATTTTGATGAGAAGCAATTTACTCGAATTGATACTATATTAGCAGCATTCCTTTGTAAGAAAAAATACTGTTTTAAAATGGCACTTTTAACAAATGACTTGCATGTGGGGCGTGATCAGATTTTTTCATGCTTGATTGACTTCATTTTCCTTTGGTGTGATTTTATTTTCCAGATTATTTTTTTAATAGGTTTTGTAGGTTTTCGTATTTAAACTGGGATAGGAATTTTCTTCCACCTCTAAGCCTAGGATGCCCATTTCTCTTTATTCCTTGTGTTCAGTTGAGGCCATCTTCTGCACCCCTAGCCCCCACAACAGGGTGCCTGTGTGGAAATACTATCTATAAAAGGTATATTCTCATTTGCAGTAAATTTTTTAAGTCAAAATTCAACATACTTTAGAGCCTTTAGCCAGTAGTTAATCAGGTTCTGATCTATTGTGGCTATTGTTCCACACCGAGCCTTATTCAATACAGCTACACAGTTTTTTACTCTGTCTGGAGGAAAACCTTGGAGCCAACAATAGGGTGGGTTCTGATCAGGACTGTGGGGGGACTGGAGAGCTGTCAGGGGAGCAGTTTCCTGGCAATGTGCTTGACTCGAGTTGTGAAATAATTTCTCTTTCCTAAGCGCCTGTTTCAAAGGTACTGTATGCTTAAAACCACAGTCAATCATTGGCCAGCCTTTGTTAACCTTTGTCTTGCAATCTGTGGAGGACCACCAAGTTAAGAACAGTGCTGTAAAATACATTGGCCCTGTCCATGCATTAGCATTCACCCTGCCTTTTGAAGAGATCCCCTGGACACACACCTTGAGTCTGTCAAGTTTTGTTTAATAAGTGAACTATTGCTTTGTAGGATGTCATGAAGTTCACCAGGGAAAAACTCAAACAAACATAATGAAAACACGCATGCTCCACAGATAACTACCTCAGTCATCCCTGTCTTATTGCTTTCTCTGCTCCTTAATCTCTATTTTCTCCTCTATTTCCAGCCAGCCATACTGCTGCACTGTGTTGAATTGGCATAAAACCCATTTCATGCTGGGTCTTCCTCATTATAAAGGATTTTCCTCCCTGCAGGGTTACCTGTGTTCTTTTTCTGGGAAAGGATTAAATATATTTCATCCACCCATCATCAGAAAGCTTTTCATTCCTAGTTGGGTTTGCAGGAATCTGGAGCCTGGAGTACACACTTTAAAAGGGCATCAGTCCATACGCAAGAATACAGGGACAATTTAGAGTCAAAATGTAAATTATTTTGCTACAAGAAGAAAAAAACTGAAAAATAAATAAAAAATAAAAAATGTAATGTACTTTCCTTGAGTTTGTTGATTCATGTGATCTTTCGTTTTCTGAATAGGCAAAAAATCTAAACTTCTTTTTCATTTTGCATCTTTGTCCACTGTGAATTCTCTGTGTGGTCCTATATTCCAAAGGCTTAGGCGCTTAAATCCCTATCCAGAGCAATGCAGATTATCACCTAACTGTACAATATAGGGCTAATCATTCGCAAAGGCAGAAATGTTAGTAATCCCATGAAGAACAAGCCATAGGGAATGCAGCAGTGCTATTATACCGTATACATAGGGAGCCATAATTTATAGCATATCTTCAAGGATGTCATCCAGCCAGATATTTTTTACTGTGCTGTCTCTTGTCATTGTGACTGGTATACTGTTGGCAGTCAGCCATACAGAACATTGTAATTCCACTAGAACACAGAGTCCATATACAGCAGTCAATTGTTAGTGTTTTGTTTTCTTCTCACCGAGTTTCATACATTTTGAGCTACAGTACATATTGCATTAATTGCCAGACTTAAACATGTACTCAAAATTGGAGTTAACAGTGGCTTACTGTTAAGTGTTACTTGAACAGCAGGAGTGGTTTCTTGGCCGTGTGTCAGCTATTATTCAAAACTGAAATATTCTACAATTTCTGGGGCTTAAAAATGAATATTGCTCTTAGAATTTATGATTTCCATGTGCATAACCCATCATCTTTCTGGAGCCAGCGTACAGACTCTAAGCATATTAAAATAAACTCCCCCATACAGCCAAAGTGTTCTGTTTTCCCACAACAGCAATGCATCTGTGATATAAACATCTGCTGGCTCCACAAGCAGCTGAATCAGGGCTCAGAGTGATGCAGAAGGCCAAGCTGCCAGGTGCTGGTGTGGCTTAGGTGTGCTCCTTTTTGTGCTCCGTGTTCTGTCTCACAAATTGTATCTCTTAAAGTTTTGTTCAAGCTAGTGTTAGCTTGAAACTTGTATCAGGCTGGCCATGACACTAGCTGAGCTAGAGTTGATGTGGGATTGATGTGGGATCACAGCAGGCTCAACACAGTCTGCTGTGATGCGTTTTCTGGTACTGGGTTGACACTGGCCTCTGCCTCTCCTGTCCCTGCAGCCTTCTCCATCTCCAGTGAGAACAGCCAGGTGGTGATCATTGCCATCTCTGCGGCCGTGGCCATCATTCTGGTGACTGTGGTGGTGTACGTCTTGATTGGCAGGTCTGCAACACTCTCTCACTTCCTCAGTTTCTCCGAACCCCGAGCAGAGTGAAGAAGGTTTAATACATCACCCATGGAGCCATCTCGCTGAAATATCTTGGCATCCTGGGATGTGTAATCAGGCACTCATCAAATACATGAAGATGCATGTATAGATTATGCTCCCTTGCAAACGGATGCCTATTTATAACTCATGCTGACTTGGCAGGAGATTTTTTTTCTTTGTGTTTGACTTCATGAAATGGGCACTTTGAGAGTGGATCAGCATGTAAAGTAAACTGCTTATCTTGGCAGCAAGTATTTACTGTTCTGAGATACATTCTATGAGAATATTATATTGAAACCAAAGTACTAGTGTATATACTACATCTTCCTTTGCTTTATTTAAACACACTTTACTCCATAGAATACAACTTTTTTGAGGTAGTCAGTGAAGTGTTTAGTTTGAAACACAAGACCTGGGCAGCCATTGCTTAGACTGTCCTTAATATTATATGATCACATACAATATACTTATTTCTTAATCCTATTGGTGGGAGTTTGCTGAGGTTAGTAAATGGTATTGAGTGAGTACAGACACAGCTGTTCTCCAAGACGAGAGCGTCTGCTGTGAATTACTGGAAGGAGTCATTTAATAATCACTATGTTCTCTATCCTCTGAAATTCCACTATATCCGGCACACCAGTATATCAGTATCAGTTTGGTATATTTGATCATATAAAATGCTTTGAACAGCTGCTTGAGCTTTGCTGAAAGAAAGAACCGAACAGAGCACATCTAGCAGTCTTTTTGAGTGTTGCTTTCTCTTCTTCTCGTGCAGATTCTGTGGGTATAGCAAGTCGAAGCATGCCGACGAAAAGAGGCTGCACTTTGGAAACGGCCACCGTAAGTTTCTACCGTCCCGGTATAAGGGTGCCATCTGTACAGCGGTCAGTTAATCTGTCATGATGTCCCTGTAGATCCGTAACAGCCCCGGCTGCACAGGGCTGACCAGTTTGTGATGTCCCTCTGCTGGGGCAACCCTCTCCTGAAATCCTGCATGTGGTTAAAATGGCTTATGCGAGATTACAAGATAATAGTTCAAGGTTTTGTGCGGAATAATTCTATTAAAATGATTGATTAGAAGAGAAGCATATCAGGTTTCTCCACCAGCCTCATTTATATAATGTGAGAAAGACTGCAGGGAGAGGTGAGGTGACCTCAATCCCATCAGCTGCATCCCGTGAAATTGCACGCTGTCGGTGACAGCATGCTCTCGCTGATCTTAGTGCAGAGAACTTCGGCATACTTGGGAATTTTCTGACCATACTGTATCTTTGTACACTAACAAAAATGACTTGATGAGAAAGATTGTGCATTCTTAGCTCTGCACAGCTCAAGTGTGGGGTTGCAAACATAAATCTCCACCTTGGATTATATAAAGGATTTTGTCATTTTCTGCAACAGTTTTGATTCGATGGAATTAGCTATGTTTCACAACGCCAAGATACAATGCTCATGTGCTATGAAGATGATTACATGTATTGGGAATACATGTCCATCCTATGCACACTCATATTTGTTATTTTGTTAGTTTAAAAGTATCTGTAATACTAAATATTTTCGTATACAAGTACAAATGTTATCGAATAAATATCTCTGTTCACTTTCTCGTAATGTAAAGTGCTACAGGGTTTTCTTGCAGAAACCGTTCTTGAATTATTGATTATTTTAAAACGTCTAGACAGTAAAATACTGTGGCTGATTCTGTCTGTTCACACTCATTGACCCCAGCTAGCATGTCCAATGTAGAATGTGAGCTATGGAACTTGTTCTTTAGTTGTATAGGAAATTGCATTTTTGCAATGCATTAACTATTTTTTCTCAATTTCTCTTTTAATCATTTTATTGCAAGTGTTGGCTGAACAGCAAAAAAAAAAAAGCTTACCCTGACCACAAAAAGTAATTTATACATTATTTATTCATCAAGCCATATATTTGAAACACAAGTTGCTTCGACTGTGGCACATTAACAAATGACTGCAAACAAGCTTCAGGGAATTCATGGTGCCACAGTGTTAAAGCAGATGTGGAATGTGATCTGTTTATTATAGTACATTGTATCTTGCAGTAAAACTCCCAGGTATCAGGACATATGTGGATCCACATACTTACGAGGATCCCAACCAAGCTGTCCATGAATTTGCCAAGGAACTGGATGCTGCTTGCATATCTATTGACAAGGTGGTTGGAGCAGGTAGGAGGATTAAAGCTGTTTGATTCTGTTTGTTTTCTTCTTTTAGGATTCTTTTAGGAAGGTCATTAGAACGTTTGTGAGAACTGCTTTTCTGTGGAGAACTACAGTAGCTTCCAAATAATGGCACTAGTAGTACAAATTCCAAGTTGGCATCTTTCAATTAACCTTGATGAGAATTCCCTTGAATGTTTAATTTACAAATACCGTATGTTATATCTGCCACTCTTTTCCTATTTACCTGGATGGATGTTTTATTAATTTATGTCCAGTAGTAGCTAGCGATTGAAAAAGCAATTGATAAAGAGAATTTGCTGTGTGTGTGTTTGTGCTTCGGATGTCTGGCAGTGCAGATCCGCAGTTAATGGAAGTACAGTACAGAAGCAGATAGGTTGTTAAGTTGTGCACCTCAGAGTCCATGTTGTCTCCTGTCGAGGCCCGAGTGAGGAACACATTAAATCAAGACAAAACTTGCCAGTCTGAGAATATGGAAGAAAACATAGCAGATGATATTATTATCATTATTAGGATATTATTTCAATCCAAATTGCATGGATTTGTTGGTAAAAGCATCCTGTTTAAAATTGCTAATTGACTGGGTATGTACGTAGCCCCATGTCTTTAAGATCTCTCTGCACATGAAAACTGCAAAATCCTTACTAAAGACTGCAGTGCCCTGAGCATTTCCTTTGTAATATAGATGTGTCATTATTCGTGCTGCAGTTGGTCCTTCAGAAGCTTTATTGCTATGATGTATCACAACGTTCCGCAAGAGTTATAATTACAGTCCATGTTGTTTCCTGACTGGATCTCTGATTGATTTAGAACCACATTATCTCAGATAAAGAGTTTGATTCAGTTGAAGGTCAATGTCACTTGTCTCTTTGCCAAGTAGAGGAGAGACACTATTTAGACAGCTTGTAATCATTCCTCCTAAGTTTTTCCAGATATCAACTTAATATTTAGCCTCTTTGCTCAACATCCTAAATGGGAAATAATTACACATGAAATTACCTATGTGTAATCCTGGATTGAATATTTTTGGCCTGAAATCATTCGTGCTCTATCTATCCAATGCTCTGTCACCATCTATACCACTGAAGCCCTTGACCTCTCAATGATGTCCTTTGAAGTAGACTTACTCTTGAGCCTTCACTTCTATGGCAAGTGTACATCTGCAGTCAGGAATACCACAGAGATTTAAAGTAGACACTCGTTGACTGTTTTTTAAATCAGCTTTCCTATAATCAAGGTCCCGGAACACTAATTGCCATAATAACTTGTATTATTCATTTCTGAAATCTGAAAATAATGAATCACAGGTTGTTTTTTTTAATTTATACCCAGCACTCTTGAAGATTCTTAAGATCTTATGTCAAAAGCGCTGTTGTCAGTGGTTTGTTGCCAAGAATAACCCTTTCTGTTTTTGGAAAAAAATGTAAAAAACAAATGATGTGGCCTTCTGCATGCACATTTTGATATTTATACTTAGAAATTGTAGCTAAAGCTAAAACTAGATTGCTTACCTTTATAGAATTTGGTGCAAAATATTCTGTTAATCACTCCATTAATTAATTTCTTTGGAATATGTATACTTATATCCCAATCAATGATTCCATTGTGTCTTTCCATCACTTTCCATTCCATTATAAAAAATGTCGCTCATTCATGGGAAGTGTTGAAGAACTTAGGATCCCATCCTGGGAAGCATATGGCACAAGCCAGAACTGTTCCCAGAATGAGACACTAGTCCATCGCAGGGATTGGGCACAAACCAGGGATAATTTCAAGACACAAGTAACCCAACCAGCTTCTCTTTTTGGAAGGTGGTAGGGCACTGGAGCACCCTGAGAATTCACTACCTAATGAGGTTATTCATATGCAAAATCCCTTCATTGACAAAATCTATTTTTTATTAATTTGAGTTTTTCTTTTAACTGCGAAGCCTTTGGAAAAAAGGCTCAAATGACAACGTTTAGAATGATTGTGTAGCTGGCTTTGTTTTTCTTCGCTAATTCTAGAGGCCCTGTTTAGAATTTCAGTTTCGTAACAAAGTGCCAGGGAGACAGAGCTTCCCGTTCCAAAGGACCTGAATGGGATTGAGATCAAGGAATTAGCCACGCCAAAGGAGCGATGTGAAGTCCCCTGGTGTGCTTTTCAGGCTACGTTGCAGTGCTGAATGAGGGAGTTTACTGTAGAGCCCATTTATTAGAAGAACGCTTCTGGCATTACTGTGCCTGCAGCCATGGTATTGAGGAGAAGATGCTTATATGAACTGCCATTCTAGGAATGGTCCTGTAGAAAGGTTTGTGGGTCCCATCTATCTTTGTAGCTTGGAAAAAAAAATGGTTTGGGAGACTCTATTACCTAACATGTTCTACAGTAGATTGTAAAGGTTACTTAAGTAATGCCTTTTTAAGGAGTGCACAAAGTTTAGTGTGTTTTATTTTTTACAGGAGCCAGTAAAACCATTTGTGTATATCGGCTATTCCATTGATTTTGCCTTGCAATTCAAGGGTCAAGGGTTTGATTCTGTGCTTGGTTTCCCTTCATGTCAAGGGTATCTCTGTTATGCATGATTCTTTTTTTCCTCCCAAAGACATGAAGGTTTGACATGCTTCTCTGAATTCTCCCTTCCAATGGTTGATCAGTGATAACCCAGGGGGGAAGCTGCTTCTGGATATTGAGCTAGACACAATATCCAGAAGCAACAGATATTTATTAAGTTTTGTTGGATTTTAGCCAGGAAATGCATTTGATCACTTTTTTCAACTGATAATACATTTAAACAATAAACTTTAAATTAAATCTGACAAAATTGTTGTATTGTAAATCATTGCACTTTTAAGCTTAAAGGTATTTTCTTGTGTTTTAAAATCTTGGGCTGTGAGGGCAAATCTTAAAAAGTTTAGCATTTTCAATTCACAAAGACAGATGCAACAGATAATAAAGTGTAAAGAAAATGTGTGGAAGAGAGAGAACAATGGGTTATATCCTGAAAACGTGCTTCCAGTTTATTTTCTAACAGATAGCTGCATTAAAAACATCCATTGGTTCCTTTTGGATTTTTCCCTTTTTAAAGTGTATTTTAGGATTTAGGATAAAGACCAGTTCTAATGAGTTGACCTTTTCTGTCCTGTGCAGGTGAGTTTGGTGAGGTGTGCAGTGGACGCCTGAAGCTGCCCTCTAAAAAGGAGATCTGTGTGGCCATTAAGACACTGAAGGCGGGCTATACTGAAAAGCAGAGACGGGACTTCTTAAGTGAAGCGAGCATCATGGGACAGTTTGATCACCCCAACATCATCCGCCTGGAGGGCGTAGTCACTCGCAGTAAGTGTAGGTGAAATTGTACGTCGTTGCAGACTGAAGAGAGTACCAGAGACTGAGCAGAGCACACACACAGACTCACCCCTCTGGGAGTAAAAGAGACAGCACCATGTGGAGGAATCTTAAATATTCTGCTTAAGTCACTCATTTATTATCAAAATGATTACTGGTCTCAGGGGACCATCGTATACTTGACAGCTTGAGGCAGATAAAACTTTCCAGTCTAGTGCAGATGAGGTTGAGAAGAAAGTTCATCAAGGAGTTTCAAAATCCTAAGGGGTATAGATAGAGTCAACCAATGGCACTGTTTCACACTCAGTAGTGAACTATTTCGGGTCTCACAAGAAGAATTCATGAGAACAAACAACAAGAAGAACTTCTTTACTCAAAGAGTGGCCGGTGTCTGGAATAGGCTTAAGGCAGATAAAACTTTCCAGTCTAGTGCAGATGAGGTTGAGAAGAAAGTTCTCAGCCAGCCAGGTTAATACCCTATGAAACAACTGAAAAAGACTACTTCACTACCAAACTACAACATGACTAAAATAGCCAGAATGTCCCCCTCTTATTTGCAAGCCTTTCTGTGTTCTAACATTCTAATCAGCTGATACAAAATACTTTTGCTTTGCTCAGTATTTTGCAAACACTGTAAGTGGTTTGCACTAACCTAACAGTCCAAGTTCAGCTGGAGTACATTAGCTTGCTACAAATTACAGACACAACTATAAATATTATTAGAAAAACCAATATGAAAAAAAGAGTAATATGGTAACCCTGATCTGTTTTCTTGCCTCTAAGCAAAAGGTTCTAACTGTGCTCAATTGGTGCCAATTTACTTTTGGAACGTATGTGGTTAGCCTCTTGAATTTTTTAACAGTAGTGATTTTGTGTTCATCATTACAGTTCCATGGCTTTATTAAATTTGAATTTAAGGTACTATGGAAGGAATGATTTATGATAGGCTGTTTGTAATTATGAATGGATAGACTTCATAATGTTGACGAATACCTTTCGGAGAACAGCCACTGTTTTATCAGCCTTTTATAAGACGCTTTCCCAGTTAATGTGGGCCACTTTCCAAGAAAAAGGGTTTTATATGACACCATAAATCTCCAGTGCTTCGATTGGTCTTGTTTGGTGATCAAAGACTTTGTCCATGGTGTCCTGATCGGTGGCTCACCCAAAAGGTGGAGTTTCTAAAAAAATCAGTTCTCTAAAGATGTATTTTTTCAAAGGAATGAGAACCAGTTGCAGTAAAGAATGACAATAAAATCGTTATTATATGTAAGAATCTTCAGATTAACTGCAGCCTTGCCTGTTTTGTTGAAATCACATTGCCAACACAGATCTCCTCTGACAGAAAAAATAAGTTTAAAGTTTCTTTTCATCCTCCTCCAGCCGATTAATACATGAATCCTGCAAGTAATAAAAACTCATATAAAATTGCTTAACGTGATGCTTTTGTTTAATGTGGTGGAACTGCACAAGGTTTCTACAGATCAAATGTTTTGATAGACACAGTAAAGTTCTGAAAGCTTGATAGGTAGGAATAAAACTTACTTTATGCACTGCTATTGGACATAAACAAGTCTGCATCATTGTTCCTATTTAAAATATTCCTAATGTAGGGTTCCCATCAGGAATTGTCCTGGGCTCCCTTTGGAATGATTAATACTCCTATGGAAAAATACTGGAATCAAATCCTGTAGAAAAATGTAAGACCATTTTAACTCAAAGGGGACTCTAACTCAGCTCTAAACTCCACCTCTTAGACCTGACATCCACTCACATCCTGGAACACAGTCAGTCAGAGCTGCACAAAGACTCCAGTCAGGATTCAGTCTAGTGTGTAAGACTACCTTTTACACAGTGGACCTTTCTTCAGAACGCTACCTTTCAATGTTGCTTAAACATTGAGAACGTACAATGAAACAACATGTACAAATGGAATGCTTAGCGAGATGATAATGGTTGGAATTTCTGAGGAGTCATTTTCCACACGCGCAGTTGTGTCACAGAAACATTGTCACAGTTTTGTGTTGTCATTATACAGTGACAGATCTTGCGTACATGTCTGCCCAGATGCCACGTAAGGAGGGATGAGAAGCTTTCCTTTTATGTCTCGAAAGATTCATAAAACAGGGATTATGTTTGTCTAATAAATCTAGCATCGCCCTTCCTATTAAAGTTTTAGCCATAAATAATGTGTGCTGTAATTGTAACCGACTGCAGATTGTTCCTGTTGTTTTGGGGTGTGGGGATGGGAAGCCGGGGGGAGGCAGTGTGCAGGCCTGTGTTGTTTGTGGAACATATGTCTGATTGGAAGCAGACAGGCTTCAGGACCTCGCATATGGGAGGGCTGTGTTAGTTCTGCCCGGCGTGTGTCTCACAGAGCCGTTGATGCAGGGTGATTTATTAGCCCAGCCTCCGTTAATTCTTAATAATCCAAAGACTTTCACACTTCATTTAACCTGCTGCTTTTGGCTTCTTATTGTGGCCAAATATTTGCAGAGTAGCAATTACTGTTTCACAGGGAATGTGAGACTGTGAACATGGGTGGGGCATCAAGGCCATAAGGGGGTTACAGTTATGGCATTGTTTTTTTTAACGGTTCAGTTTTTTTTTTTCGAATCGGAATCAAACTGAAAACCGGCATCCAACAAAGTAACCAGATCACTGAAAAGTGCTTTTAAAGTGGAAATTATTGTACATGTGTTTATTTATAAGGTGCCTTTTTATATGTACTATATACTGTAGGCCTTTCAGAAGAGTTAAGCCCAAATCAAGCATTGCCTTTTAATTAGTGCAGGTCTCAACTGGGCAAAATGAAAGCCTGTTTTTATTTGTGTAGTCTGCATCAAAGGGAAAATAAAGGATAGAAAGGAATTTGAAATGTCTTAAAAAGGGAACACTGTTCTTCCACCACTGCTTAGTGAAAATGAAGATACTGTGAACTGACTGTACATATTGAAAACTGTCGGTTGTAAAACTGACAACTTCATGAGAAAGAGAAAGCACTAAAACAAATATTAATCAATGTGTCCTTGAGCATGGTGCTTCACCAGCAATGTTCCCATCAAATAGCTGTATAAATGGATGCAAATGTACATCTCTCTGGATGAAAGAGTCAGTCAATTAAATATATAACAAAAGCATTAATTGCGATTGAAGTCAGGTACAGACAATAAAGAGGAAATTTATACTTGGCAAAGTTGTGCAAATAAAATGCTAATAAAATAAAAGGAGGCAACGGGTGAATCTTGGGATCTTTTCTTCCTGTAGGAAAGAGTTGAATGGTAAGCTGCCATAAGTGAGTAGCATGTAAGAGGAACTTGACCTCCAACAGGTGACTGCTGCTGGCTGTCTGGAGGATTTCAGCCAATACCCAAGATGTGTCTGCAGGACAAAGGCCATCTCTGCCAAATTAAACTAATTAATCTAAAAAACATTTTTTTTCTCCTTTGAACTTAATGCCGTTAATTTTACCCCTTGTACATTTGTCTAGGGACTCAATTCAGTGTTATAAAGTATTATGAAACTCCTGAGCAGTCTTCTTTAATTGCGTCATAGACCAGATGTGTACGATCTAGTTATAATTAAACCCTAACACCTTTAGAGAGGTGATTAGCAGAGATTGCATGACATGTCTGGTAACCTCTGTTTCTGGCAATCATAATATTATGACTATTAATTGTAATATTATGATTGCAGGTTGTTGTTTTTTTAATAGGATTGTGTTACTGTGTTTAAATTCCCTGGTGTTACACCAGTGCTAAGGAGAATAAGAGTATCATGGGATTTTTAAAAAAAAGTATGTTCTTTTTAAGGTTCCATTAAAGAGAAGGTTAATATTCTTTTAATATTAAAATTTGGGATTAAATTAGGAAATGAAATAAGACAGGTTTTGTTCTGTGGATTTCCCATTGCTTGTGTAAGGATGCTATATTTTCTTAAAATACAAATGTTTTTTTTCTTTAAAAAATTACTTGGTGTCTGCATGCCTCTCAGTAGAGAAATTCAACAGAGAAGGACCCCCAAATATCTGTAAATTATTTTCCTTTTTATGTGAAAGAAAAGAGGAAAGTTGAAGAAATGTACTGTTTTTCGCCTCAGTTCAGCAGGCGAGCATCAATTACAGCTGTCCCAGGGCAGAACAAGCAATGTGAATTGTGCTGGTGAGCTTCCTGGCACCTATTTTCAGTGTAATTTCCACATTATTTTTTTATGATCTCCTTCCAGGTAAACCCGTCATGATTGTCACAGAATACATGGAGAATGGGTCCTTGGACAGTTTCCTGCGAGTGAGTATAACTGTCTCTGGAGCATTTAATTAATTTCAGATCTGCCAGATCAGAGAAACAGCTCTGTAAGCTGTAAATGTTGGTACTGTATACTAATGCATCACAAGTGTGTTGAGTTCCCGTCCTAGCTTCTTAGTGGCATGAGTGAAGTCTCCTTTCTAAATGATTGAGGTTTATAACTGAAGTTTGGTGTGAAGGTTAGATCTTAATCTTGCACACTTCAGCTCTCCTACATTTATAAGTCTCATATCAAAGACTTCTTTTTGTGTTTCTCCTACCTTTGCTCTCTGCACTCTTGTAGCAGCTCCCTGGCTCAGTCCTTGCAGTAGGGTTACAGGGTTCAGCTACATGAATCACCCTAACTACTCTGTACAGATTTGTTCCCTCTATTGCTTAACTTGGATCTAACCAAACTATTGAAGTAATCATTACCTGTCTACAGCATTTTAGGGAGGCAGTCTAAAAATAACTTACTAGTGAAAAGTGCTAAAAAGCATCATGATTTTACTTTGGACCTCATAATGCCGGATTGTATTGCTCGAGCCAGAGACTTGCAAGATGATTCAACTGCTTCTGTGATCATGGTCTTTTGTATTTTAATTAAATCTGAGCTTTTGGTTGCTGAACACATGCTGCTGTGCGCTGGACCTCTTGCTAGGCATGTGTAAATTCCAAATGCTGTCATGCCAGAAAATGTATCGGAACATGTCCTGTCCTTGAGACGACACTTCACTGAAGCATCACACTTGTAATATTGCCATAAAGCAAGCAGGAAAACAATATTTTGTTTACCTATTCAGCTACATGCAATAGCGTACCCTTCTGAAAGTTGCTGATAACTGATCTGATGTCAGACTGTAAATAATAAAAGAGCCTGAGTAACCTTGCATTGGATAATAGTAGAAAATGTTTATTTAAATAAGGATTAAAAAGGTTAAAGTGACATTAGACTGTTAGGCAATGTGAGCTTAAGGTTGTGATTTGTCATAAAATAATGTAAGAATATACTCCTTAATGTTCTTATGGGTCCTGAAACTTTATATGGTACCTAAATATCACCACAGGTTTTCGGATTACTGAAATCAGGCAAACCATAAGATTAGACCAAAAAGAACAAACATGACTTGCAATGCACAGGACCTTCTTGAGCTGTGTTCCTTATGCATCTGCACAACATCTTGCAAAAAGTAGTTCCAGAACAGTTGCAAACATATACAGCAATTTCCTGCTTGTTTCTTTTAGACCTGCACTTAATCAAACAACCCTGTCATCCTCATCTGGCTCGGTTTCCCTACTGCCTTTCCTTTAGCTATTATTAGCTCAGCTTTTGACTTTTGCATTCGAGCTAAATTCACTTCCATGTGGCCTAAATTTTATATTCACCCCCGTGCTCTCCAACACAGACACACAGCACGCCCACGCCACACACATTTATGTATCGATTGAGCTTATCTGTGTCTGATCATGAATGTCTGATGTGCTCTTCCTAATGCATTTCTGAAAGACATAAACATCTCACCTCAGTGGTTTTAATAATCAGTTATTCGGCAAGGCTGTCATGGAAAAAGCTTCCTGTCATGTGAGTTTTCTTTATAATTCATGAAAGTAATCCTGTACAGTTCAGTCTGTACAAGATTTAAAGATGCATTCTCATCATGCTTTATTTATTTTAACCATTGATTTTCATATTTGACCAAATTTGCCCAGATTTTAGGTTACAAGAAAAATTCCGGTTCCTTTCATTTTTCTTTCCCTTTTTATATTCTTCCTGTGGAAAATTGCATGATTTGTGCATTGATTAAAAAAGTCTTCCCTCTAATGAATGCAAGTAATGGAATCTCCTGTGTTCAGCTGTAGACAGTGCAATCACTCAGCTCACCTTCTCTATCGCCCACCTTCTCCTGCAGAAGCATGATGCCCAGTTCACGGTGATCCAGCTGGTGGGCATGCTGCGGGGCATCGCCTCAGGGATGAAGTACCTCTCTGACATGGGCTACGTGCACCGAGACCTGGCCGCCCGCAACATCCTGGTCAATAGCAACCTGGTCTGCAAGGTGTCCGACTTCGGGCTGTCCCGCGTGCTGGAGGACGACCCTGAGGCTGCCTACACCACCCGGGTGAGCCATCTAACAGAGAGGAGCCAGAGCACCTTCTCTTAACCAAGTGCATCAGTCACAGCTCCTGGAGGGTGTCCCAGCAGCTGCCCTTCAGCTCCCAGAGCCGACAATCAGGCACAGCAGCACATTTTCAGAGCTGAGCGACAGGAGACACAACAGCTCGGGCAGTCCAGTACATGTGTGGAATTCTGAAAACAAGGGGTCTTCAAGGGCCTCGTCCTGCAAATGAAATAAACAACTGGGAGGCCTGAATAGTGGATCAAAATGTACTGTAAGTCTCCATTTGCAGTACAGATGGCAGTTCTATAAAACTGAGTCTTAAGCCATGAGCAGTTCCCAACTGGCCTTAGGAAATAAGAATAAGACTAAGAATAAGAAAAAAGAATAATGAAAATGAGTCAATTAAACATTTTTAAAAAATCAGAAGGGAGAATGTCAGAGCTGTGGGCAAAATCAAGTCCAGCTATTCTGACAGTGGAGCCTCACGATGGCCTAGCCCCTGTGATACGAGCAACAAGAAGCAGAACAGTGGAAACTGGGATATTGGCATCACCCAGCTTTTGAAAGCTTCGTCTGGGCAGCTCTCGGCCCACACAGTCTCCATTGTCCTCTGCTATCTTCAGCAGTGCAGGGATCTATGTATGACTTTAATGGAACATATTTTACTTCACCGTGTAATTAGCTCATATGTCACTCTGATACATGTAATCTTCACATTCAGGAAAGAGGCAGATGACTAAGGGAAACCACAAAAGGGAAAGATAACAACGTCAGTATAAATTCAGGATATGCCTATGTAATTCATCTTAAAAGAAAGGATTAAAAAATAAGATATGCCGGTGAGGCTGAACAATGCAAAAATAGATTGCAAAAGATTGGCAGAGTAATTCAAATTTCTTTAAGCCAAATCCACAGCTATCATCACTTCTATTATTTATTCAGAAATGTCATATTGGTGCTAGTGCTCCAGCATGAAGAAAATACTTTGTAAATATTTTTTGAAGATTGTCAAACACATCACTGTCTTGCCTTTCTGCTCTGCCACTGCCTTTTCATTGAGTCCTTAATCAGTTAAAACATTATGACTTTTTGTTTCTTTTCCTGGAACGAGTGCTCATTCTCACGGTTGTTTCTGCACCCCAAAAACAATACTGCACCCCCTCCCTCCCTTACCACTACCACACACTTTCCTCCATTTCAAGTTTTCAAGAGGGTTTTTTTAGAGGATTTTCAATTCTGAATTAATTACAAATAATGTGCCTGTTCCTAAAGCCTTGGCTGTTTGTCTGAGCACACAGGGGAATGTTGTACACAAGCCTGTTTATTTTTCAAAGCCAGTCTGTTTGAGGAAAGCAGGGCTGGAGCTGTGTGACTTGGCTGGCGTAGCAGTTAGCTTTGGCCTCCTCTCAGCATCTGCACGAGTTTGTTTGACTACACTGAGCTCCAGCTTCGCAGCTGGGCTCTCTTCTCTCCCATTTCACTGTTTTCTCAAGCACGGCAACTCAGCCTATGAGGAAAGTACACAGGAATTAAACAGAATAGATACCATACAAACTGAGTCTTCTAAGACAAGCATTTTTTTAGTCCATTGGATTTTCTGTTTGATGGGGGACTTGTTTAAAAATTTTGGGTCATTTGGATTGATGCACAATGACGTGCTCTTGGGCAAATGTCTTTTGTCAGTTCTTTACTCATTGTGAGGTTGCAAGCAATGCAGATTGAGAGTTCCCATCAAATATTAGTGTAGGTGGCTCTCACTATGAGTTGTTTATTTTTCATACTAGGGCTTCACTTACCCATCCGGCAAGATATATTTTTAAAGCAACATTTTTATCCTCGTCTCCATCTGAAGAGTTAATTTACCATTGACACTTGTCCCATTGGATGAGACTTTCAAACAAGATCAAAGACAAAACAACCATATCATGTAATCTGCAAAAAAACAATATTTGTTCTCAGGCAGGGCTGATTGAACTGCTATGGTGACATTTTAACAACCCTGTTCAGAAAATCCAGGCCGCTTCAGGGAGCAGGTCATTGGTCTAAGAGCTCCAGTGGGAAAGCATGGAAATGTATAAATCCACTGTTGTTGAGTGGGTTAATAAAACTTTTACTATACAAGGTTCTTCATGGGGAAAAAAAGAAGGTTTTCAAACTCAGCAGAAACCCAGCATTTTGTACTCATAATGTGAGGCAAAGATGTCTTTCTCTCAACTCAATTGGGCATTAATGCAATGTGTATCTACCCCTCATTTCACAGGAGAGCCATAATCAATTACTGCTTACATTAATCAATTATTAAAATCGTTTGTTTTAAAACTGACAGGTACAGTAATTTTCAGTTGTACTACTGGTAAATAAATAATTAAATATGAATTGCACAGCAAGTAGGTACCTCAAACCTTGTTCTGTATTCAATATATACTGTAGTATCCAGAATACATTTACAGAACCTACAGACATGCTGCTGCATATTATCAATAATCAATATTGATAATCAATATCTATAATAAGTTCATTTTGAATGAAGAATCGTGGTTTTGCAAGATGTGCCCTTATCTTTCTAGAAACCACAACTGCAACAACAAGTAACAATACCACTTGTAGACCACAGACAAGCAAACCACTGATATGTGCAAATGCTTTATACTGTAAAGAAAGTAGCTAAGGGCTAGGTTTCATGACTTGTGTTATTTTATAGGGTGGCAAGATCCCAATTCGGTGGACAGCACCAGAAGCCATTGCCTACCGCAAGTTCACCTCAGCCAGTGATGTGTGGAGCTATGGCATTGTTCTGTGGGAAGTGATGTCATACGGAGAGAGGCCCTACTGGGAGATGTCCAATCAGGATGTGAGTAGATGCGCTGTGACTGGTGATGTCAGAGGGGCCTCAAGCTGTGAGAGGAAGGCAGGTGTATTGGGGCCAGGTGGCAGACAGGGCTCAGCTCAGGAAAGTAGAAACGAAAGGCAGTCATCTCATCACAAATACGCACACAAAGGATAGAGAATTGCCTTCCGTTAGGAAATGTGCATTTCATTTAATGATGGCTTGAAACAAACCCAAGTCAAAATTAATAATAAACAAAATCTATTTCAATGCAGACAATTTGTTTGTATAGTTTCCATTCCTTTTGGGATCAAGAGCTGTAACTTTATCTCTGGTACTTGGATAGGTTATTGTCTCTGCACTCGGAGCGTCAGGCAGTGTTTATTTGGATTGCATACATTAATGATACCCTATTAAAACCAAGACACAGTCTTGCATCACATTAAAGTCTGTTAACTTTGCAGTTCTGGTGAACTTTTGTAGGAGATAGAGAAACCTGGCTTCTTTAAGCTTAAGATAAATATCCCATTTTAAATTGGATACGATTCAACACAATAGGCAATGATATAGGATTGTTTTCTTAGCTAGATTTAAATTCAAATGTGGAACTACACTCCCCAATAACTTAATAAAAGCAAACAACGTCTTGTAACAAAATGCAGTCACCAGCTGAAGTTTGAGAAATAAAGCAAGAATGAGCTTTCAAAGGTACATGTAAAATCTTTTTTAGTTTTTTTCATTTATAATAACTATAAATCAGGATAACTGTAATTATTTTTTTCCCCAAAAAAGAGAGAGATGTAATCCTGTATTTATTCTCCTTGTGGGCATTTGTATGTATTTGTAGGATCCCCTACAACCCACATCTTTCAACACAGAAAAAAATGGCAGCTCAAATGTCGCCATGTCTTTGGTTGAAGGAATAGTCCTTTTGTCTATTCCTACAGGGAGAACATGTTGTTATGCTCACAGGCGTAGAAGCACTGCATTGTAAAAATGCCAGTCTTGTCAAAGTCCGACAACAGCAGTAAAAACGACAATAGCAAACTGCCATTGTTGCCAGCACACACAAAAGCATTACGCCAACACAGATGGCCGTGTGCAAGACTGATATCTGTACCACAGGTGGTGGAAAAGGTGGTTCCTCTGTTATGAGGTACTAATTGGAAAATGACAGGGGTTCTGCGTATGTTCAGTCCTTCCATCACACCTTTCCCTATGCCTATATGCAGGTGATCAAAGCAGTGGATGAAGGCTATCGGCTCCCACCCCCCATGGACTGCCCGGCTGCCCTCTATCAGCTGATGCTGGACTGCTGGCAGAAGGACAGGAACAACAGGCCCAAGTTCGAGCAGATTGTGAGCATCCTGGACAAGCTCATTCGGAACCCCAGCACCCTGAAGATCATTGCCAACACGGCTTCAAGGTAAAGCTCTAACCTAGTCTCACCCAGGCTCTTGTCTGGAATCTGAGGGGTCTTTACTTTTCCAAAGTGCAGGACACTGGGGAGACCATTTCCAAAAACAGGTTCAGCCTGCATCTCAGGATGAATTTTAATGAAGAATTGGAGGCACTGAAGAATTGTTATTGAGAATAGGAGGCAGTAATTTACCTTAAGGTTTGCGGCAGAATGGAACAAGCTACCCAGCCATGTGATTAAAGCTGATACCTTCTATCAATAAAGGGGTGGATGAGATTCTTGGATTAATATGCTACCAAACAGGTAAAATGGGGTGAATGGTATTCCTCTAATTAGTAACCTTTGTTATATTCATATGTTATTTAAACCTTTTACATGAACTCTAAAATTAGCTTCAAATTCCCTTTCAAGCGAACTCCATTGTAAGAACCTTGCCAACTTTTATTGATGTTATGTCCGATAATGAAGCTAGTGTAGCACAGTAGGTTGGACTTCTGACTCATGACTGATAAGTGGTGGTTTTGAGTCTCTGTTACAGACACTGGTGTTGTACCTTGTGTGAGGTACTGCACTTCACCCCAGTTGGTCCAGTCCAACTAGCTCTGTAAGTGAAGAGCAGCATTGCTGATGGTGATCCCCTTGACAGACTACAGTTTAACAGAAACCAGGATGAGCTCTGGCCCGATGAACCAATGTGTGCTCTCAGGTTTCACTTTTTTTTTGTATGATTGTTTGCACAGGAATTGTTTTTAAGATATAAACTGTTTTTCTTCTCCTTTTCTGTGCAGAAGGAAGTAGATAAGGGCCTATTGCCCAGACAGACCACAGAAAGCACTTGTCATAGACAATTGTTCATTTCCTGTACAGTTCCCTAACATGTCTGGATAGTTTATGGGTTTTGACAGCAACATCACTAAAGCAGCTTAGCTGACTTCACTGCACTCTTAGCTTTACCTCAGTGGGTATCACCAACTGTTACAATGCTAGACAGATACAAAAATATTTCTCATTTTCATGGCTTCTCTCCTTATGAGGCCAGTACTCGGTGAGGTCCAGCATGACAGCTGTTATTTCTTCAGATTTTTAAATTTATTTTAGTAAAATTGAATCCACCTGGGGGTGCCTGAAGCCATAGCGTCCCTTGTACGCTGACCGTGTAACTGGGAGCTTTGTTATTATAAAGATGCTCAAGTGCATAACGATGACTAACGAGTTCTTAAGAAAGTGAAAATGGGTCCCCGGGAGCTTGCCTGTAATTTTCCTGATTGGCTTTTAACGCGGATGGTCTGGGAGCTGGGTCACGTTGATTTATGGAGAGCAGTAAAAGATGTGGTGAAGCACCACAGGACACCAGTTACAGCTGCACACGGCCCAGCACACCTAATTTGTCTACTGCTCTACATGCAAATGGAACTTCAGGCCCTGGCCAATAAATTTCATGGCCAGACCACTGCTTGAAAGCTGGGGGTTACAGGCACATGCGTGTTGATGCTGAAAAGACCGGGCTTTCCCCTAGCGCGGTTTGTGAAGGCATCTCGGCACTCTTCACAGTGAGAGACAAATTCCTGTCCATGACTAAGCTGCCCAGATGTCTTTTCTATGGAGGAGCCGAGCCAATTTTTCCTTTTAGTCTCCCTGAAGGCTTTTAAAAACATGATACTGCACAGCAGTGGTTATTTAGAGGTCACTGTGTGAATGGAAAAGAAAAATCAAGACAGGAACATTGAGTGTTTACTTCTCTTTTTCCTTTTTTTCATTCCTTTTTTTAATATTCAGAATCCTGGGGGGCTGAAATTGAACAGTCTGTAAAATAGAGGGTTAATGCTGAAACTTCATTAATTAAAGGCTCCTCAAGAAATAGAAAAGGTTTGAATAGTGTCTACTGCTGTTACTAGCATCCACTGAAGTTTAGAAAGTTTTGAAAATGAAGAAAGAAAATAAGTGAACCAGTGGGAACCAGAGGACACAAACAGAAACTATGGGAAAATGCACTTAAAACTGTGAATAGGTGACACGTCTTCACACAAAGGTTTGTGGGAGTGTGGAACAAGCTACCCTGGCAGTTGATGAAGCCAGTAACCTGGTTTCTTTCAACATACAGCTGGGGAGAAATTTGAATAATTAAATACACATACACATATGGCCAGATGGGTCAAATTGCTTCTTGTAGTTTGTAACCTTTTTATGTTCCTTTAATGTTGGGAGACTAAACTACACTTGCTTGTTGTAAAAAAATGTGTTCCATCTTTGTTAAGGATTGTAAACTGCTGTCTAAGAATTATTATCTGAGATAATGTAATATCTATGGATAGATCTGCTTCAAGGAGTAAGTTATCACAAACATTCTTTCATCACTGTTCCATAATTTAATCTCCCTCCAGACTGGAGAATGTCTATATTTCTCATTCTGACTCAGACAAGATCTTCCCAACAGCAGTATCATCATTGCTCTTTGTAAATGTCAGGTGTTAACACTGCGAATGACAGTGTAGCATTACAAATAGCTTGGTTGCTGAAAATGCATCCTTTCATACTGTTAAGTTAATCAAAACAGCCATCTGTGAAAACAAAAACTACCCCATTATTAATTACTTATCCATTATTAACAATCTAAAGCAAACCACTTAGCTCATGATACAGTAAGTGAGTTTTATCATATTATGTCAGCATAGACTAATGTATTGAATACATTACTGTAATTTCAGTTCATGGTAGTACAGTACCCTACTAAGGATACTTGCTTTTCTGCTGTATCTGCAATCACAGAGCAACTTTGCTAGGAAATTAATTGAATCAAATAGCAAGAAGATATATTGGAAAATAACATTTGAATCTATCCCTAGCCCTCTGATCTGAGGCATTTTAAAGAACCTACCTTTTCATTTTGCTATTCCTTTGGGCATGAAAATTCCATTTAATATAATTTTAAGGTCATTTTTAAAGATTAATTCAAAAATAATATGCAAATAAAATTTAATAAACAGTCCACTCTAGAGATGAATTTGGTCATTCTTATTTTTACCCACAATGCCTTCAGACTGGAATCCATGCTCTACTCACTGTTTCAAACTTGTCAAACTGGCTAAAACTTAAAAGAACTCAAAAATAAGGAGCAACCTTCTAAAGCACTATAATTCTTAGGTATTGTCGTCATCAAAATGACATGCAGTGTTGCTCTGCAGTAATAATACAATTTTTATTTACAAGTGCTATTAAAAAAAACGCAAAGAGCTGGATAATGCTCAAATGTCCGAAAATGAGCCGTTGCCCACAGTATTTGTGGTTTTGTGAAGACTTCTTGGTATTTTAAAATTGCTTATTTACAAAATGAATCTGTTCTTCTGCTTCAGAATCTCATTTCCTGTTAGGTTCAGAGCCAGAATTCCCCTAGCTTTGAAATCAAATGTATAAACCCAGGCCTAGCCCCTGCGCCACATATTAAATCACAACTTTGTTGAATAAAGCATCAAGTGAAACAGAGTCTTCGTTTCAGACAGTTTCACAAGTATTATCTATTATCTAGGAAAAAAAAAACATTTACAGTATATACTTCATTCAAGCATTCAAAGGATGAAATGAAGAGACTTCACAGATATAAACTAAATGAAAGTGGTCAGACAGCATTGACTGCAGAGCAAGGTTCTTTTTTCATATTTAGTGTTTGAGGTCCTAGATTCAGCTAGGCTAGAAAACCAAATATTCAGAGCAGACACACTGGCGATGTGTGCAAGGTCAAGCCCCACTGAAAGAATCGTGCCAACGTTGAAGCCTTGTCTGTATTTTTGTCTTTTTTTCCTTATCAAAGTTTAGAACAATTAAACAGAACTTAAAAGTCAAAAGCTTAAAACTTAACAGTGAAAGGACCATTTTTTAACTTCAAACCGTTGACACAGGAAGATCTCTTTTTTTGTTTTTTGGCCATCATCATCTTATTATTATTATTATTATTATTATTATTATTATTATTATTATTATTATTATTAAGGACAGTAGTACAGTGGTTAACATTGCTGTGGCCCTGCTGCCAATTCCAGTCCAGGGTCACTATCTGTGTGGAGTTCGTATGTTCTCCCCATGTTTGTGTGGGTTTCTGCGGGGTGCTCTGGTTTCCTTTCACAGTCCAAAAATGTACTGCTAGGTTAATTGGCATCCCATCCATGGTGTATTCTGCCTTGTGCCTGTTACTTGCAGGAATTGACTCTGACTCTAACTGCGACCCTGAATTGGAACAAGTGGTTAGACAATGGATGGATGGATTATTGTTGTTGCTGTGTTATGAAGAGGATGTCAGTAGTATAAAAGAAAAAAAAAGTCATCTGGAATTTTCAGATCACTTACTTGTGGTTATATATAATTTATTGGTACTGAACAGTTTATAGCAGGAAATACCCATTGTGACAGTGGAGAAAAATCTGTGTTTCTGAGCTTCTCCCATCTCCACGGGTATTTCCTTATGAAGGCCTGGGGGGGAGACTGGGGCTTACCCTTTTGTGTTTTCTCTTTGCAACATGTGCTTTTATGAGCTTGTTTTTTTAATGCTAACATTTCCTTTCCTGATGTGAATCGCAGGCATAAAAATCCACCTTTTTGTTTTCGGATTTGTCTGCGGGTAGGATACAATGCTCACACTGGCGGTGGTCCTGTCGACTGGACTCCCAGGGTCACTTTTATAGGGCCGTGGTGACAGAAAGTCCACAGCTGAGCAGCAGGCAATAGGAACTCAATGGTGTCCACACTCTCCCACTCCTCAGCATCCAGATTGAACTCGCAAACTAATCCTGTCACCCATCCAGCTCACCACTGCTTGTCTTCTCCAATCCCATACAGGCCCTCCAACCTACTGCTGGATCGGAACAGCACAGACATCTCTGCTTTGCGCTCCATGGGGGACTGGCTGGAGAGTATTCGCTCAGTGCCCTGTAAGGACACTTTCACAGGGGTCAGTTACAGCTCATGTGACACGCTGGCCAAGACGTCTACAGAGTAAGAGCTTCAGTTTTGCTTTTGTTGTAACATTTTTCCATGCATAGTGGAGGTGATATGTTTGTATACCTTAAGAATGTATAGGACTTAAGAATTCATAAAGAACGTATAAGAACATAAGGAAAGTAACAATCAAGGGGAGGCCATACAGTCCATTTAGCCTGTTTAGTAGTCAATAGTGCTCATCCAGGATCATATTCAGCCATTCCTGAAGGAAGCCAGGATGTTGTCTTCAACAACATGGCTGGGCAGGTTGTTCCATTCTCCCACAACCCTTTGTGTAAAGAAGTGCCTCCTGTACATGGTGTTAAGTATGTGAACATTTAATTAGATTCCACTTGCGGCCTTCATTTGTAATTCACTATTATTTAGAAGCTTTAGCAGTCACTCCAACCTTTCTTTTTACATGTGCTTTTTCAGGACTGTAGGGAGAAGGAGATGTGTTTAGTGTTGACAGTCCTCTGATTTAATATCGACAGTTCATGGAGAATAGCTAGATTTGATTCTTTTGAATGAAAAGGCACCTCTTTGAATTTAATTAGAAATGACTGTGTTTTTTATTGTGGGTTTTTTTTTTTCTGTGCATAACCCAACAAGAAAAAGAAAAAACTTCACAAATACATGGCAAACGTTACGACAGACTCTGGAGACTTGGAATGGGTTTAGTAAATTGAAGCTGGCAAGGGCTATAGTTAAGGGCCACAGCTGACTCGTTCAGGCTTCTAATAATAAACTCGTATTTTCCTGCAGTTGGCATTGATTAGGTTTTATGGGAAACACTGTGGTGGCATTCTCGGGGTCTCTTGAAACCCAGTCCAGGGTGAAGTCCCTGGAGGGATGCCATTCCACTTAACTGATAAGGTATTCGACAGTGTAAATAACTTGACATTTGGATCAAAGTTTGTGGCCCTTGGTTGGCTTTTCTTAAACTTTGTGGTTGTACTTAGAAGAAGAATGTAGAAATGCATAAGCACAGAGAGCAATTAAGAAACTTTTGTTCCGTGTCTGTTTTTTTTTCCTGAAGAATGTGAATAATTATATGTAAATACCATACAAAAAATAAACTCCCTCACCCTTGACCCAGCTTTAATTGCTTCAGAGTCTAGCGTGTCTCAAGGTTGTCTGTAACACCAGCTGCGTGGTGAGACTGGCATATTACAGGCCTGAAAAAAAACTAGTATGCAGGAATGCCCAGGTGTCAGGAAAGAGGGAAAGGCATTTTATGACATAAACACAGCTCTTTATGATTGTTAACAATATAAGGCCTGACGCTGCATCTCTTGAAATTAAGAAGAGCAAGAATTCATGGTCTTCAGTTAGCATCTGAAGCATTCACTTATGAGAAATAGTGGTATGCATCAAGAATGGTAGGCAGAAAGATTGCATTGAGGGTGCACGTTTGTACGATTTCATATTACTTGAACTCTATAAATCAGTTTCTGTATTAAGACAAAATATAGGGTCAAGCTATATATATAGTGTTTCAATTAGATAGCATATGCCAGTGTCTTTATCTGTCTATAACTTTCCCCATTTCAGCTCTGTAGTTCCAGGAGAGAAAAAGAGGGAGAAAACTACATTTTCCATCTGGCCACAGCTTACAAAGGCCAATGTGATATTTGCCCCAAACTAATTGAGCACAGGTGTTCTCAATGAAGGCCTTTACTCAGGGTATATGAGGGTGGGACAAAGTAGAGCTAGATGTCTTTTTCATAGAGACCAGATTGTTAGACTAAGGTTGATTTGCCACAGTTTGGTGATCACATAAGGAAAGAATCTTGAAGCACAGAAAGAGTCTATTTTGTTAAAACTAAACAAATTACTGATAGGAAACCATTTGTCTTTTTGTGTAAAAGTTTGTAAGTGGATTAGCCTATGGTTGGGCAGGAAAAAAGTTTCGACAGAGTTCTAAAAGGAGTGGGTTTTCTTGTTTTTCTTTTTGGAGCTCCGAAGTCTGGGGGTTATTTTGGGACCCAGAAGAGCCTACTAATAAGCATAGAAAATACAGGGGTTAATTTGCCATGCAATGGCATGAATTACTTCCACACATTAGAGCCTAAGCAAAAAGAGCCTGGAAGAGGTGACTAGCACCCTAAGTTTAGTATCCTTACTTTTCTCTTTGAACAAATGGTAGATTTGATGTAGAAATGTGTGTCAGCCCTGAACACAAGGGGGCTGTGTGTGGCCTACAGTGTAAGCATTAGTGGGCTGCTGACTTTCAGCTGAATGGGACTTCATGAATCGGCAGAGACCTCCCTGAAGATCATCATTGTTTAGCTAGTTTCCTGTCAAGAGTGTCACCTAAGGAGCTGGTCCTTGCATTGAAAGTGAAGACATTGGGGCTCCTCTCATTAGCAGCTTTCTCATCTTCTTATTAAGCACCCGGCCTGTATGCTATGAAGTTCTCTGATGTATTTCAATGCAATACTTCCACGGGCCTAGGTTTCCATTTATGGTCTTGTTGAAGTGTTATATGATCTATGTACAACTTGATTCCTTTTTTTAAGATGTAGAATTCAATAACTTTTATGAAGATGAAGAACACCTTCAGTGTTCTTTGTTCATTCATTTTCAGACACAAAAGCTAGGTTTTACAGCTTTAAACATGTTCTTAATGGATTTGAGAAAAACATAGTATTGCTGATGTTGTCCTGACAAATTCCAGATTCCACTAAATATCCAACCTTTGGGGGGATGTAAGAACATAATATTGGGACCTGACAGCAATGTTGGAGGTAATGTAGAAATTACCCTCAGTAAGGATGGGAAATGAAAGGGTGTATGTTTCTACATGTTGAGCACACACACAGATACCTACTTTTAAATGGAATCAAATTAATTTATTTAGGTTGTTGAATTTAAAAGTCAATGACCTACAGGTGTACATCATCTGATGTTAATTTTGTTGCAGTTACAGGCTTGAGAGATTGAATTCTGCTCTGAATTGTTCACTGTTAATATAGAATACAGGCAGACAAACAGGTAACCTAGGCCTTTAATATTTTAGGAATGTGCACTCACTATCCCTGCTCTCATGCCCCAGCATGTTGACTTCAGTCAGCTTCAAAAGTAATAATCATTCCTTGCACATTAGGGGTGGTTTACTGTAGGGCTTATAAATCTGAGATGTTTATCCTAATGACAGTAAAGTACTACAAACAAATGTGTGCCAAGTCAGTAGGCCCATAGTGTTTATTTTATGTTATTCATATGCTGTCTTGACATACTGTATTTCAGTAAGTGGCTGCAAATGTTTTAAGCTCTCCTTTAAATGAAGGGTTATTTAATTTAAACAGTTTAAATAAAGGGTCTCAAGACATCATGCTGGGAGAGGAACTGAATGTGTCAGTCTTCCTCACATTAGCCTTATGGAATACTAAATTACTGTTACTGTATACCCGCTGTGTGTGTAGTTACTAGTTTGGCACTCTCTGAAGAAAGAGGTTCTAGGGTGCCTTTCATGTTCATATTGTTCCCATGCCGTGACACTGTGGGTCTGCTCAATTAATTAAATACAGCGTTTGTTCCCCTAGTTTTTCAGCTGCGTAAAAGCTGTGCTGCCTCAAGGCTAAATATCCCTGAGTGTATGGAAAAGTGTCTGTAGGACGTTATTCAATACTATGCAAAAAGTCAAAACCTGTGATCCACATATATTTTAAAAGAAAGCTAATTTATTCAAGTAGAGCACCAACAATTAAATCTTCATCAAGGCTCTTTGAACATTCGAAAGAAGTCAATATGTCACTGAAACTACAAAAAAAATAACATTTTTGTTCCTCTGTGTTATGAACTGCACTGGCCAGTGTCATTAAAGATGAGAACATTTCTTGCAAGACCAATATGGCAGCTACACTGTCTTTCCAAATACAGTTTCTCCATTGGGTGAAATGGGTCTTATCAGAAGAAGTGTGATCCTTGATTTTAATTTTTATTCAAAAAATCTAAATTACTTAAATGAACATGCCAGCTGTTCTGTTAAATGAACATCCTAATGTTGTCTAAGCCGAGACCAGGCTTAGAGAACTGTGGGTTAGAAAAAATAGCTCACTTGAATGTCAATTGTTAATTGTCAGCTCACTGTTAAAACCCTCATCCTAGTGTGACTCTGAAACAACTGAATCTCTGGAACCTCAATGATTTAAATTTAAACTGTGATTTTGCATGGTTGTACATTTCAATTTTACATCACAGTAATGTAGAGGTGCTTTTCAAAGATTAAATACAATAAGGAAGGTAAAAAATCAACACATTTGATTGGGGGGTGTAAAGGACAAAGTGTCAAAACAAAGAAGGACCAACTATAAAAGGATCTGAATATCTCTGTAAAACTATAAAACCGGAAAGATCTTGGTCAAAAAGACTAACTTCTGGTCAGTGATCCTTGTTCTGATGACAAAGACAGAACCTCCACTCACTGTTTTGAGAATGGCACAGTCTGCTTTATTGTGTTGCACTGAAGAAGGTTATTTGACCGAACAAGGTGACTTTAACCACGAGATTAGCAAAATAAAGCATGTGGCAATCTCCTGAAACAACGTTGTCACCTCCTCTGCCTTCAGATGAGGCTGGAAAGGTATTTCTCCACAGGAATTTACAGTACCTGTGTCAGGACTGAATCTCAATATCTGAGATTTTGTTGAGAGCTCATACTGTACTTCAGTTTTTGTCTTCTGTGAGTCACATTTTTCTGGGTCTTGCATTTTACTGTACATACTGTACTGTATGATGGTCTGCAATGGCTATCTGTGTTTCACATGGAGTGGGAAGATGGGGAGTTAATGTGATTCTAAAGGTTTACTTTGTTCATAGAATCTGCCTGACTGATGTTAAGCCAGCAGCCTCTTCCCCCGAATGGGAGCAGTCCCTGGGAATAACAACACTTTAATCCCAGAAGGACCAGATGGTGGGTCTGACCACTGCTTACTGTATGCTGGCTGCTTCAAAACTTTTCTCTAACATTTTTGTGCAAAAGTGGCTTTTCCAAGCACCCTGAACACGTCAGCAAAATGACATGAACAAAGCACGAACAAAGCTGCGCATATCCTAACATCTGCTTATACTAACTTGCTTTTTCAAACTTTCGTTACATTTTCTAAGCCCCAAGTGAAAGACTGTGGTTGATGCATTGTAGATGGTATCTGCTAAGAGCTGTATAGCACAGTGTACTTCAGTGGCAAGTGAGCACTGCATCACATACTAACATCTCGTTTTAAAGCACAATTCCAAAATGTTTAAACCCTCAATGTTATGACCTCACTGAAAGTGCAAGGGATGAATACATCCATATGGTAAGTGTCAAGAAACAAATGTGCCTGTAAATAATAAATGCTTTTGTCACTTGTAGCATGGAACTAATTTATTGAATCCTACCAAGAAGTGTTGTTTTAAGGCATTGTAAACATTCAGTACACATGTGTCAGTGCTGTTTCATGCTTTGAACATGGTATTACAACAGCTATACAGCCTTTTTGAAGCTGTAATAGAATATTGTAGTGGGCTTTTTATTGTACTGTATATTTCTTCCATCGTACCACAGAGATCCCAGTCTTTTCAATTCCTGTTGTTTGAAAGCATTCCTTGCCACCCGCGCATGTTTGTCTTTCTCAGTGTCATCATTTTAATGCTCTTTGAGTTACATTCAATCTCTTCAACTTTGAATAAAACTGTACAAAGTTTCAAAAGTCTCACCTTGACAGAGGCTGCTTTAACCTGCAATAAAAGCTGCAGTAAGTGTTTGGTACTGCTTAAATTTACACGTCATTATATTAACTATGATATCTGTATCTGTCAAATGTAACTGCTGAATTCTCTCATTCATATGTTTGCCCTGCAGCAGTTAGACCATTGATCATTCATTGTAATCCCATTGAATTGTCATGGTGGGTAATTTGAAAACACATGGCCTGCATATATACTATGTCACTATAATCGACCTTGACACAGAGAATTAAATAGAGCATTGCTGGAGCAGCACTGTGCATTAGTCACTGTTCTCAACAGGTGTGCTGCATACTGCTTTCTGTCTTACTAATGGATTTCTCTTCTCACACGCAGGGACTTCAAGAAGATTGGCGTGACAATTGTAGGACCTCAAAAGAAGATTGTAAGCAGCATTAAAGCACTTGAAACACACACAAAGAACGGACCTGTTCCCGTGTAAAACTAAGATTTTGAAGCTGCTTGGGGTTTTAAAAATGGATCTAAAATATAAAAAGAACAGAAGCGAGTGGAAAATAAAACGTTTATATAAAGGAATGCTGTGGACAGCAACTTCAGGGAACAGTGACAATGACACAGAGAGGTCCTATGGTCTGGAGAAGAGTTGCATAGCACTCCCAGTTCCCATAGCTCTTTGTCTCTGTGCAGAGAAAGATGTTCCATTGCTACCGGTAAGAGTTGCCTTAATACAGAAGCACACAAGGGCAGGCCTTGCTACAGAGTGATAATATCTCTGAAAGCAGTTACCACCAGTCCTGGAGTGGCATGCATGCTCTAGATGAGAGGCACCATAAAGCACAGCTCGGAGCCAAGACTAATGGTTGAAACTTCGGCTTGCACACCCACATCGAGAGAAAGGTTACGAGCTGCGAGCAGGGACCTTGTGCTATGCTTACCATTTAATCTTTTCCAAATGGTCGCCAATGCAGGCCCTTTGCATGCAACAGGGGAGTGTTTGGACACCTTTAATAGCATATAACAAGAAAAGCTCCCATCACTGGAAACACAACTCACGGGCTTGAAGACAAACCCAGGAAAATAGTTTATGTATGCTCCAGCTCCAGCTCCCGATCTGAATAGATGAGGAAGGTAGATCAATCTAACCTCCATGCTATAGTGTTCATTGTAGCTGGGGAATGGACTGGTGCATGGAAGCAGAATCAGAGGAAGTTACTTCAGAATGGGAGGAAAGTCCAAACGTTCGGTGGTGATAAAATGTGGTCAGGAAAGGATCAGAGAGTCCAGTTGTATGGAACCCAAACTCAGATACCATAAAACAGACAAGAGTAGTACTCTCTCATCATCAATATCAGAATCATTACAGGTGGATATTGGAAAACAATTGGCTCATTTTATCAATTCATTGCAACTGCAGCTACTATAGGTGTAAACTTCCTTCTTGTTTTAAAGTAAATGTAATTCCTGTGCATTTTCTAACAAATATCTGAAATATCTGGTTTTACCATTCTATAAAACAGAAAATCTTTACATCATTTAAGTAGTTTTTGAAAACAGATAACTATAATAAAGGAGTACATAATGTGCATATTCATGTAAGATAAAAAGTTCTCTTTTAAAGCATGTACAGTATCAAACAATGCAGGGAAACTGTAGTACTTTCAGGTTTTGATTTATAACATTACAACACAATGAGGATGGCTTTCTGTCTGGTCTGAATGTTGGTTTTATTTAGAAAAAAATATAAACATAGTATAAAGGCAACATTCACAAACGGCGTTGATGAAACAATATTTATGAAATATTTCAAAATGAATATTTAATACAGTATGCAATAAAAAGACTATAATATTCAGAAACCTGGGCTGAATATAAAAGGAACCAGCAAGAAGTATTCTAGAGAAGCCATGGAATTTATCATTTCTCAGGCAGCATTATAGTAAACGTTATCTTTTGCTTATTTACTGTAGCTTTTCAATATCATAGATCCCACTCATCAACATTCAACAAACAATTTTAAGAACCAAATCTGTTTAACTTGCATGATATGCTATATAGATATTTTGTGTTATACACAAGATGGAAATTATCAACAAATCATGTATTTCAAGATGTTTTGACCAAAAGTAGTTCAATATTGCTTTTCTTTCTACAACAAATTCCTTTTGAATTATTTTATTACACAAATAACTTCATTACTTGTGAATACGTTAAAATAATAAATTAATAGTAAAATACATATTAAATGCATTTATCACCTTAAACAATCAATAACAATACTAATGATAATACATAGTAATCAATGATGATGATGATGAGAAAGAGAACTAAAGCTGGGAGAAAATGTCAAGCAACTTTCTGTCACAGTTTAGCCCTCAGAAAAACAGTACCAGAAGGTGCCAAATCCAATTGACATTTTCAGAACCAACCCAAAATCCCCCCACCCTGACAACACCTTTCCAAAGCATAGATTCTGACATCTGTGGCTGTATAACCAAGCGGGTTCTGGGTCTGGGAAAGTGTGGTCTTGGATTACAAAGAGCATTTCATTAAACAATCTAGAAAGGTGGATAAATGCCTTAAACATTTCCCTTAATAAAACGTATACCAATAAAATGCCACAATATATTGCATTGCCCTAATTGAGCATCAATGTTGTTAGCTGTATGTTATTCTTTTAAGGCCATAATGTATTTTCACTAGTTTACCATCCTACTACATACACGTCAGCTCTTAGAATTGTATTTTGCTGTTTTGTATGCTTAAAGGTCTGTAAACTACAGTATTTTAGAATTTGAGACACTGTTGACCATATTTGATATCACTACAGTCTCCCAGTCAAGAAGAGCATTGATGACCCAGGGCATTGAAGGTTATTGATGTGCCATGTTGTCACCATGGAAACTAACCTTTTTGTTTTGCTTTCTTAAGCAAGAATTTTCTTTGGAAGTTTTCATTAGGTCAGACATAGAAACAAAGTTCACTGGGACAACAGCTTTAAACTGGTATTTGATTGCATGATGAATGCATTTTCAGTGAGTTCTCAGGATGTTTCAGGTAAACTAAGGCTTCTAGGTGTCAGATGTGAATTAGACAGAAAATAATAAAACATGAAGGTAAATGCACTCCAAGAATGAGCCCATAGAGTGTCAGCCCTGTTTTAGGATATACACAGCAGATATTTATGGATATCTGCTGTGTAGACGATATCGAAAGATAAGAGCAGCATTCTCCTTACATGTTTGGACTCTTTCCACCTGAGACTTGTCCTTCCATAGTGAGGAGCCCACAGTTCTTACGCCTCTACAACATATTTAGCCATAGTGTCACAGAGGCCCAATATTCAGGCAGAAGGAGGCCTCCAGTGTCTCGATAAACTCTTCAGAAACCAGAACACTCCAACATTGTAAGCTACTGCAAGAGAAGTACAGTAAGATGTCTCATTAGCAGGGCCTCAGGCTAATTAACCATGAAATCATGGAGCTATGGGGCATTGTATGGGGAATGGATTGGTAATAGAAATCCATTTTCTAAGTTAATCATAAACATTTTCTCCTCAGCCACTCTTTTGGATCAGAAGATGAAAGATAATCTTAAAATCTTATTGTGCTTTTAGAATGAAAGAATGTGAACTCCTTCTTATCCCAGCACACAATCCATGCCAATAAAAGGACAGAATAATGGAATTTACAAATTCTAAGCCTGGAGGGGTTTGCTAGGTGTTAGTTTAGCAATCCACAAGGAACAAATGGAAATAACAACTGAACTATAAAGGCCAGTGGTGTTAAAAGGAGATCATGAGAGAATAGGGAAGATTGACTATGTACTGTAGGTAGAAGCTGGCATCGTATTCCACTACTCTTTGTTAAAGTGTATTGTGTTGTTCTCAAAGACAAGATAGAAAACTATTTAATGCCATCTTTTTTAACAGACCTTCACGTTGTTTCACACTTCAGACAGCAGTTTTCTCTGATCAGTGCCATTTTGAAATCAGCACGAAAAAAAGCGTATACCCTGTGTCCTTCAAACTGCTTGTGAATGACAATGTTCCCTACAGTATTAGCTTGTATATATGTAAACATGATATTGTAATATTAGCAGCAGTGAAACTAGCGGTACTGTCATTTACATGGCCATCTCTTTGTACAGACTTCGCTATTTAAAAATATATGAGGGAAACATTTTTAAAATTTGTGTATCATATTATCTTTTTTTTTGTTTTTTATACATTCAGAAACAATTATAATTTACAAATGTATTATTTATTTGTTAACATATCCTGTGCAAAGTTTAAGAGTTTCGTTTTGTAGCATACAGTAAATTATGACCTTTTGTGCCAGGTTTTTACTGATGTTCTGTATTTGCTTTTAAATATGTGTTTTAATGAACATTATTCTCTTTGCTCGCACCCTTTCCACCCCTCTGCTCCCCTTTCTTTATTTAGACCTTACGTGTACAAATGTAGATGGCCTACTACTAATGTAAAATGATTTGTAGTGGAAACATTTATATTTTTATAATAAACATAATGAGAATATTTTTTAAAGAATGGACATGCTGAGAAGATGTAGTTTCCTTGTTTGTTCTGGATTTATTTGTCCTTCTACTTCAATACAGTAAGAAAAGATAATCACTGGTTCAACTTTACTTCATTTTTTATTTTTCTGTTTTGCACTAAATGCATCTACAGTATATTTTCTTCACACAGATTAATTTTAGAAAATAATTTTCCTTGGTATTTGTAAAATAGTGTTCACCTGGAACTTTATTTAGTGTATAATACACATTGTATTTTGTGTTTAATGTAGAAAACATGTAATTCTCACTAAAAGGAGACTTTTTTTTACTATTTTAACAGTACTTTTTAGTACTTTTCCTTCTACGTTATTCTACGTTTTCCAGATGCATGTTCAAACCTTTCTTCCCAAATTTGCGCAAAGTTCTGTAATCCTTATTTTGCTGCCACATTGAATTCACTAAAAAGAAAAATCAGAAAAGGAAATCTAGGTCATAAAAAATATTTCTTGTTTCCACGATACACCATATGCATTTCTAGAAAGCAATGAGTTCCACTGCACTTCTGTGGGCATGAAAGGTTCACTCTCAAATCACAGCCCAACTAAATTCAGCTTTCTTTCCACAGAGGAGAGTTACAGGGTCATGAGTTTAAAAGGGTGCTTGGAGAGCTCTTGAGGCTGGAACACAGTCTTTTTCTATAAACTGCTATGTGATATCAAGAAATAGGAGTCACTGGTAAAAAGGAATTGTGCAAAGAACCACTTGGAAAGCTGAGGTATGTGATATGATAAAGCTTTTTTATATCTGATTTCTCAATGGTTTGTATTGCATTACAGCAGCTTTGTTTAACACGTACAGAAATGTTGAAAATAAACAGTGCTAGTAAACCACATTACAGTATGTAAAAGATGTCTCCACTTAAATAATCATTTCAGGCCACCTCTACAGGAATCCACACAAGTGCACCAGAACCCTAAAAGGTTATTCACCCCACAATTGCATTAAGACCATATCGTTACACACATTACTCCTTCATTTTTTGAATAAAATAACATCCACTGATTACACCTGCCCATGCACCATTAATTATTTATTGTGAACAATTTGTTGATTGAGTAGTTTGACTGATTATGGGATAAATGAATGCCTCATTTTTTTTTAAGTCTGCATTGAGGTACTCTAAAACCCCAATTTGAAGGCATGAGCTGATGTTCTAATAATGCAAATAATGAGCCCAGACTAATGAACGCATGAAGAACTGTGGATGTTACCAATGGGTTATTCAGCATAGACTAGGAAAAGGAGCTGTGGAAGATGAAATGCAGAGATAATAAATGAAGGTACAGTATCTCGTATGGGCACAGAGGAAATAATGGCTGGACAGTGATGAATGGTGGTAGAGTGTACCAAAGTTACTGTAGGCTTTTTCAAAGAGCAGTGTATATTGGAGGGGAAAAGGTAAGATGAGGATTGAGGCTTCATATCAAGTGAAAATGATTCAATAGGATTTAATGCAGAAAATTAATTCATATACTTTAAGTACAATTTTTAAAAATTGCATATTAAAAACATTAGGTCTATGCTACAGTCCATATGTTTATATTGAGTAATAGACTTTTCAAATCAGGCATATTATTAATAAAAAATCTTTTTCACAAATTAAGGACAATGAGTAGGTACATTTAGACATTACAACACCAATGATTCTCAGAAACATGGAATCCAGTTCTAGATCTTTAAGTGTGTTAAAAATAGGAAATAGAGCAATGCAGAGTCCCACCTTGGAGGCCAAGATTAGGCAAAATCGAGAAAGGCTTGTGTAAATTCATGGATTGAAGCTACCGTGTCATTCACATTCACAGCCCCTGACAGTGGGTGGCTTTAAACCCTGCAGAGAAATGTCTCCATTTCACATACTGACTTGTGATAATGGAATGTAAATCGTTTCACGACCTATTAAATGCCCTAAAAGAAGAACAATCTGACTGGAAGCAGGAGCAATGATCTCAGGAGAAAGCTGCTTGATACAATATTATCCTAAATGATGAGCCAGAGTGAAGCGCACTGGGTCATGGCATACAGTACATCTTGTGATGAGTTCCTTTGCTAAAGCGCAAACACCCACAACTTCCAAAACACATACTACCAGTTCTGTTCTTGGATTGCCTCATGAATACACGTTTTGTACAGGAAATTAGAAGACACATGGGCACAAGTGTGCTGTACAACTTAATTGAATAAACATTTTTTTTCATATATTCAGTCAAGTGTTGATATACAGTATAATATTATATACAGGACAGTATATATAATTCATATATTCAGCAACTTTAAACTTTAATATACTACATATAATCTTATAGTTTAAGCTTTATGCAACTTTATATTCAGCAAGCTTTAAGCTTTAATGTACTATATAATATATTAAATTTTAATCCAGCTTCTGGATTTACCCAAAAGAGGATGAGGCACGTGCACATGTACCTCATCAGTCCCACCCTCTGAGTCATTTGTCATGCGGCATGTTGCTCCACAGCACCTGGGAGAAGAGTTGGTGCCCATCGGAGGAGTATCAGGTCTGATGTCAAAGCAAGTCTGCAGGTGCAGTGCAGGAGTCATTGTTTGCCAAGAAAGCCATCTTAGACTAACCCTAACATTACCCCCCACATGTTATCTGTCAATTGTATGCCACTGTCAGAAGACTCCCAGTCATAGTGAGGTCACAGTGATGGTATGGTGAGGTCATAGTGATGCCATACAAAGTCATTATGAGGTATTTCCCATTTAGCTTGGAGACAGCAGCCAATAAGGCTGAACAGAAATGATACCAGTGATGCACTAATGCAGCCCATCAGCTTGCACAGGGGTATTAATACAATATGTGGAGAAGAGACCCCTGGGATAGCCTATTGTCTGTGGTTAACCAGCTCTATTTGTCAGGCGACAGATGTCTCACCCTGAGTAGTTCATATAAACAGAGAAATCCTCCTGTAATAGACAATAACAAGATCACACAGACCCTTTTCGTGACAAATAGGGACTAAAATGTGCCTTGGTGCCACAGTGGTTCCCACAGTGCAGAAACTCTGAAGCTGTCCATCCCATTTCTGTAATCAGACATATACTGTACAATAGAAAGCAGCACAATCTGTTTTTCTTGGGCATTGTACCTGCTTTGCCAAACTCTGCAGATTATGTTGGAAACTGACTCTGTAGCATATTAAAGAAGCTATACAGCCACTGGCGATCTGCTTTCAATTCTTCTAGTTCGGTTACAGTAATGATATTAGTAGCATTAATGACAGGTAAAGAACAATACATTTCAATAAATTCTTCTTTTTCAAAATGGGTAACACCCCTCCAGAAAAGTGGAAAAATATTTGAGCTCCCAGAAACTTGGCAGTCGCATTGGGGGGTTTACAGGGAATTTCAAATTGAACACAACACTTAGCCCTGAGAAAGTACTCTGAATATACTGTACCTCCAACCTCCCTCTTTACCCTCTTTAAAGATATCCAGCTGTTAACAGCTGCAGGAGAGACCAAGACGTTGTATTGCAAAGATATCAGCACTCATAATCCTGGGGATCCTGCTGCACTTGGAGATGTCATCAGTAAGTTGCTTCCTGGCTGTGGCAAAGGTCTTCAATAAAGAGGAAAAGTCACGCATTCATCATTTTGGAGGGTTATTTATGTTTTCCAGTGTGTTATTGGCCATTCTGCAGGGCATGATTTGCAAGGATAAAGAAAAATATTGAGCCATGAGGGTCTGGGAATAGAGTCAACACAGAATACTGAGAATACAGTTCCGTCACATCTTGTAGTAACTCAAACAAGTCACATCACAAGACATCAGGCATTAGATGTGACATGTTAGACCCTTTTGTTTCTATAGCTCAGAGATAAATGTAATAATACTGTTATAACTTGACATTCAGCTTCTTCTTGATTCACATGTGGAACAGAGCACTACTGACTATGCACTATGACTGACTATGCATCAGAAGTAATGTCACTCCCTCTTTAAAAGAGATTTAAGTGTCCCTGGTCCCCTGAACCAGCAAAAAATGTTTTGGCAAAGCAGAGGTAGTAGACTTGATCACTATAACATCTGTACACTCAAAAGAAAGATGAAGAAATGCTGTTGGTTTGATTTCCAGTAAGAGACTTGTTGGCTACCTAAGCACAAATGCAAATGCTAGATGTGATTAAGAAGCCATTTAGAAAAGACATAAAGTGTCAGCAGATTACGTATCATCCATCCACCGTGTCAAAACCACAGAACTGTGCAATTACTTTGTTTATATGTATTGATCAAAAAGTTCTGTTTTATTACAACATATTGAATGAGACATTTTGTGTTAATTTACACAATTCGTATACACACAAAGCATCATTGTGTCATTTGTGTTGTAGTGGTTCAGTTCTGCTTAGTGATACATTCTGTGTGGAGTTTGCATGTACTTCTTGTGGCCACATGGCAATTTCTGGTTGTGCCAGTTTTCTCCCACAGTCCAGAGACTGAACTGTTTATTTTGTTTTATACAGTATGTTTGTACCTGTTAATCACCTCCTCTTCTTTTGTAAAAATTAATTTAGCCATTCTTTCCTGCTACTCCCTGCAAAGAAATGGCATTGTTCCATGCAATTCAAAATACATTTGTATGTCCCCGTAAAAACTGTGCATAAAGAAAAATAAATAAATGCTAACACATGCAATATGAAATACATTTTGGGACATGTCACAGCCATTGCAAGTGTATTCCAAATGTTGAGCTGGTGCTTGTGTATATTATTGCTGATGTTAAGAGAAAAAGGAATGTTCCAAATGGCTCATTATGCTATTTGGTTGCTTGTAACTGAATGATCTAAAAATTCCATATATCTGTTTCTAAAAAAAGCCCATGAAGGGAAAAAGACAACATTGTTGTTATGATCAATTGCCTGACATTTAGGATGCGATTACACATTAAAGTACATAGCACATTCATGCAATTTCTCTTAATTCGGTGAGATCAACAGATGTTTATTTTACAAAGTATCATGTCAGCATCATTCTGAAATCTTCCGGTATCTTTCCTAAC